GTTCATTATTCATTAGCCTCCAGGTGTGGGAGAACCACTGTTGAAGATGTAAGAATAGCTAAGCTGGAGCTCTGGATACCAGCTGTTATGGATTTGAGTCAAATCATCTTCTTTTTGGTCTGTAGAAATCGCTTTGGTTAGTCTCTCTGGAATCCAAATTGGCTGCTGTTCTCCCTGCAGTTAGGAGGAGGATTAAGGGTTATTTCAGCTAGCTCCTTCTGAATTCTTTTACACTAGTGGATAACTAGCAGTGGTTTTGCTAGAGAGTTTGGTGCTCTTCTTCTTCTTCATTCACGGCGCCTGCCCCCCACGCGGACCCCAGCCCTGCCGCCTTAACTCTTCTTGATCTTCAGGCTCTGGAGCAGCAAGGTCTCCCTAGTCCTCATCTGAACTGCCACTGCTGGTGCTGGGGCTGTCATCATTGGACTTTTGCTCATCACTGGCCATCTTGATGAAGTTATCACTCCTGCCGCTGCTGCTGCCACAGTCGCCCCTTTGCTATTTCTCAAACTGAGTATTTTTTCTGCCTCAGCCTCTTTGTACTTAATCTTCCCTTCTTCTGGAGAAATTTTCCCTTGGATCACTGCTTGGCTCCCTCTCATTTCCTTTGAATTTTTGCTCAAATGTTTTTTATCTTATACATTGCCTCCCCAACCTTCTATATATCCATGTTTGATGCATATACTAATATTAGTTCAAGCAATCAATGTCCTATCAATATTTAAGATCATCTGTAAATTATTATAATAATTTTAAAAGGCTAACATAAATTGAAATCTTGCTATGTGGCATGAATTTTGCTTTCCTTTGCTGGTAGCAATCCATCTTCTTTGTGTACTCTGTCACCTGCAATAGATCTTAGCTCACATGATGCCACATCCTTGCTTGGTCAAGCCAGAAGTGATCTCTCAGTGATCAATTTATTCCATTCACTTTCCACTAATGTTGTTTTATTAGAATCTTCTCTTAAATATAATAAGACATTTGACAGCAGAGACCATATCTACTGCAGCTTTGCATGATGCGCAATCTGAAGAACAGTCTCTATAAATCTACTTCAGACATTTAGGAAAAGTTACATATTCCCTTTCAAGTTATGTATGTGAATTTATATTGTTAGATGAATGTTTACTTGGGATCATAAGTGTCAAAATCTCGGGGTATTTTAAAGACAAAATTAGGTAGAATAGAAAATGAAAGTATTTAACTATTAAAGTCAATTTGTTTCATCATTAGACTACAAATGTAAGATCAAGTTGTGTAGAGTTATCACTATGCTGTCACTATGACAAACTTGACATCTTTAGAGTGTTCTGGTAAGAAGTGGTTATTTCCTCTTAATTCTCTATGGTAATGCCATATCTTTTTACTTGTCTTCTCTTTGCTTTTTCCATATCATGGAAAAACAAGGTATTTCTCCTACTCTGAGAGAATAAAACTTCTGAGACTGCAGTTTCTTTTTTGGCTTTCAGAGTAGCTCTCTATTGAGGTGATTTTTTGTGGTGTTGGTACTTTTAGCCTCATTGTCTGGTGTGGCTCAGGCTTTTGAAAATAGTCCTCATATTGATTTAATGAGGCAGATTTAGAGGGACAAGCTAATCTAATACAGTGTGTGTCTCTTTTGATAAAACCAACAATACCCTGGATAGTTAGGTCCTTAAAGAAGATTTCTACTGGTTTTGATGCAGATTTCAGTTTTATAAAGCCCCTACTTAGTAACAAATAATCCAGAGAGAGGGTAAAGCTACCATCAACTACATGGTTTATTTGAATTATGAAACTCAGAATTTGAAAAGTTCTGACACTTCAAAAAACTTAACTGAAGCTTTTTAAGTAGAAGCAAGGGCTGACTCTAGGAAGGGAACACAAAGAGAAAATGGGAGTGAAGAGGAAGCAGTTGCCGATGAAAAATGTCATTCCTTCTGCTTCCACACGTGATAAGACGCTTCTATAGTAGCAAATGTGCTTGCCTTATTCTGTGTGGAGAGATCTCCATGGGCTTTTTGTCTACACAAAAGCCCTGATATGGACTCTGCTTCAGTAGTCTTGGACTTCCTTCATTTGCTTCTCAGACATTTGCTGACTGACTTAGGGATGGGGTGGGGGTGTTGGTGAGAACAGAGCTAGAGGAAGAGTTGTCCATTGTGGTTCTAACACTATTTCATTTTCCAGCAATTAAAGCTCCAATAGAAAACTCTCAGCTGCCTGCAATTTTTAAAAACATACTTTATTATCATTGATTTAATTTTATTTATATTATTTATTTTGAAATAATTATTGATTCCCAAGAATTTGCCAAAGTATTTCATAGATATTCCATATGAGTGTCACCCAATTTCAACCAATTGTATCATCATGTGTAACTATATACATTTCCATTGGTATCACTGATCTTATTCATATTTCACTCATTTTTACATGCACTTGTGTATGTATGTGGGTATGTAAGTCTATGCAGTTTTATCACATGTATAATAAACTCATGTAACCATCACAGCCAAGATATAAATCTGTCCCACCATCATAAAGGAACTTCCTTTTATTTTCCTTTCTATATGCACTACCAGTAACTCCTGGTAAGTACTGTTTTTCATCTCTACAATCTCATCACTTCAAAATGTTAATTAAATGCAACTTGCAATCTTTAGCTACTCCCTTACCTCTTTTTCCAAAGCATAGAGTTCATAAACTTAGGAAATTCTGTGTCTGCCAAATAACAAAAAATCTCAATTATACGAAGAACACTAACCTAAGTCCTTTCCCCCTTAACCCTTGAAATAGCCCTGTGAGGCAAGTGTCAATTACAATACAACCCTCCCATGCTTAAAAATGCTTTAATAGTTCCCTGTTTGACTTATAGGAGGCTGAAATTCTTACAATAACTAAAGCCTCCCCCCCCAACCACTCCCATTTGTTATCTCTTACCAACTCTTGCTCCACTCTATCAGGAGTGGTCTCCATCTGTCCTTGAACCTGCCTGCTCAAGCTGCTTCCTGTCTCAGTGCCTTTGTATCTTCTGTTCCTCTGCCTAAAACACTGTAATCAGATCTTTCAATGGTTTTTGTTCTCTTGAAATCTCAACTCAAATTTTGTCTTCTTATACATATAAATAAAAAAAATCCTAAGCAAAAAAATCTCCCAACCAAACCAAAAAGTAAAAAAGCCTTTCATATAGGGTTGCCAGATTTAGCAAGTAAAAGCTAAAATATCTAGTAAAATTGGATTTTGGATAAACAAAAATATAACAGTCTTGTAGCATAAATATGTTCCTTGCACTATTTGGGACATAGATTTACTAAACATTATTGTTTATCGTTTATCTGAAATTCAAATTTAATTGGGTGTCCCCCATTTTATCTAGCAACCTCTTCTCTATCACCACTGTTAAACAGTTTTGTTGTCTCCCTGGGACTTTTCCCTATTAGATATTCTGCTTGTTGTCTGACTCTGCCACTACCCCCGCCACCTCAAATAAGCTCCATGTGAGTGAAACTCTGCTCTTGTTCACAACTGCATTTCCAGAGCCTATCTAGCAACTGGCACATAGAAAGTGCTCAGTAAATATTTGTTAATTATTTGTTATGAGGGTAAGCAAAACAAAAGCCAAAAAAGCTTAGGTTGGTAGTACCTCTAGGGCATACTGCTACCCAGAGAGGAGACTACCATCAGTGTTGCTGTGCCAAAGCATAAGAAACTCTTCCTTTGTTTTCCATATTTCGGGGTGCAGCAGTGGGGGGAAGATTCACTGCCTGCCTTACATAAGGGTCTCCTATCAGGTAGAATCAGGACCCTGGATGAGTAGGTTTAGGAGAAAGCAAAGTCTGAGTAAGTAAAAAACCCTTTTCGATTTGTCTTGCAAGGAAGGAATGAGGTAGTCTAAGAAAAACGAGCTTGAAAGAAAAGGAGGAGATTTTGTGTACCTAATAGGGTCAGAAGCCCTGTACATCCCTCCCATCTGTGTCCACCATAAACTCCCTGTAACTTTAAGGGCTGGCTTTATTGTCAGGCTCTGGAAGCTGCCTGATCCCCATCATAAGAGAAGTCGCCAATGCACATGCAAATGAAGAGCGTGAAAGGAATGAATGGGATGAAGCCAAGACATATGAAATCAAACTCTCTTCTTGGACCCGGGGCAGACTGTGCGATCCGGCCGAGGTAGCCTTGTTCAGCTTAGAATTCGGCAAGGTTCAGCACTCGGTGTGAACGCTTGGCGCCCCATGGGACCCGCCCGGGACGCATAGACTCCACTCCGACGTACTTCAACGGACCCAGACCAGCACCCACTCATCCGGAGGCTGGCCCGGAGCAAGCTACGTGGGCAACAGTGGCCTGATCCTTGGAACCAAACTGACTCTGGCCCTACCCAGCTCTACCCAGGTCTTGCCTGCCCTCCCACCTAGGAGCTGGAGGATAGTGCTAGGGTGCTTAGCCAGGGGTGCTGGTCCCCTACATCTTCAGTCGGACGCGCCCCATTGTGTAAGCCGCGTGCGCGCCCAGTTTGGAGGCAGCCGCCCCCGCCACTGACAGGTGCTGCCCGGAGGGCGCCTGGGTTCTGTCCCTGGCGCAGCTGGAAGCGCACGCCCCGGTGCGGGCAGCTTTCCGAGCTCTTTGCCAGCGGGGAAAAGGAGCCTGGGCGCGGCCTGGGGGACTTCAGTGGACTGGAGCCGCGGAGCTCAGAGCTAAAAACTTTGCAGGCGCAGCGGCCAGGATTCGGTGACAGCTCTAGTCCAACCCGGCAGGTGCAGGAGGAAGAGGCGGTGCCTCAGTCCCGCGGCGGGAGAGTCTCGGCGGCTGCCTCTTTTCTCCGAGCTGGCCTGAAGCCTCTGGGCACTCCGGGCTTTTGCTGCTGCGCCCGCCGCCGCCGTCGCCACCACCATCGCCACCGCCACCGCCACCACCGCGGGGCTCCAGGAGGAGGCGCAGCCGAAGAGGGCGGAGGAGAAGCAGGAGGAGGAGGAGGAGGAGGAGGAGGAGGGGAAAAGAGGTGTAGGGGGTGGAGGATGGAGTCCAGGGCTGCCACGGCGAGCGAGCCCGAGCCTGCGGCGGCGTCCTCCTCCTTCCATGCCAGGATCTGGAAGAACTTGCAGCTGGGAGTGGGCAAGAGCAAGGGCGGCGGGGGCGGGCGCTCAGGGGGACCGGAGCGCCGCACTGCGGACACCCCGTCGCCCTCCCCACCGCCCTCGAGGGGCACGAGGGACGTCCTGGCGGGTGTGGGTAGCACGGGCAGCAGGTGGAGCGGCTTTAAGAAGAGGAAGCAAGTGCTAGATCGGGTCTTCTCCTCCTCTCAGCCCAACCTGTGCTGCTCCTCACCAGAGCCCCTAGAGCCAGGCGGCGCTGGCAGGACAGAGCAGGGGTCCACACTACGCCGCCGGATCCGGGAACATCTGCTGCCGGCGGTAAAAGGGCCCGCGGCAGCCGCTGGAGCAGCCGGAGTGACGCCTCCTGGCGGACGATCCCCGGACTCAGCTCCTTCTTCTTCCTCTGCCTCATCTTCCCTGTCATCTTCTCCCCAGCCGCCCCCGAGGGGGGACCGAGTCCAAGATGAGGGTGCACGGCGTCGGGGTCCCGGAGTGCATTTGTGTCACCAGAAGAGCTCCTCTTTACCGGGCACTGCATGCCTGGAACAGCTGCTGGAGCCACCGCCGCCTCAAGCAAAGGCATCACAGAGGCCGGTGGAACCTCAGACCCAAGAGAAGGGCGAAGAGCGCGACAGCAGCCAGGTGAGTGCCAGGTGGTGCTTCGGGCCACGCCTCCAGCTTCAGGCAATCACTACCCTGGAAGTTGGTTTGTATGTTCTATTGAGTAGATGAAGCAGTGGAAAGAAAACATTTTCCTCATGGTTAGCAACAATAAAGAGTTCTGATTTGCACCTTTACTTTTGATAGGAATGACACCTGTCGGCAGAAACAGTTTGGGTAACTTAATGAGGCGCCAATGAGAAGTTAGACAAAGCGGGTACTTGTTGGAATGCTCAGCCAAGTATCACCTTGGCAAAGGAAAAAACTAACAACAGCCAAAACTTAGGAAAAAAATTACAACCATGTATAATGTAGTGGCGGGCACATCATTTGAAGCAAATCAATGGCTGGCAAGAAGGAATAGAAAGAAATGCGGCGAGGTGAAGTAATGGTGTAAACGAGGTTAGTGCTGGGGAATGCCTTATAGCACAAGTCTACTCATCATCGCCTCCTTTCCCCTCCCCCAGCCTTCCTTTCTGAAAACTTCCAATCGCAGGTGGACCACTGTTCCACAGGTGGATAGCGGTGAGCTTCTTATCCGATATAGTCAAATGGATGTGTTCTTATGACCCTTCGCAAGTTTTAATAGTAATCGGAAGCACTTGCTTTGAAATACGCTGCTTTATTCAACGTGTTGACTCTACTCAGATAAGAGTAAAGCGAATTCTACTTGTAGGATCCATAAGGCATCCCACCGAGCAGCTGCTTTTACTCCCTGCATTTTAAAGAGGGATTGCTCTCTTTTTGTAAACGTTTATCATGTCATGTTAATGCTATAAAATGCTTCAGAAATTCCATTCTGCCAGAGACTTAGGTAGCTCTTTTCTTCCAATATATCTTAGTTTACTCAAATCCTCATTATTTTGGCTTCAAATAATTACTTTAGATGAATGACATATACATTAAAACTTTAATTAGGTTAAAAACTGAGCCACAAAATATATCAGGCCATGTATGAAGGGTTAAGATATGGGAATAGATGTGTTTTAATTGAAAATTTTATTGTTTACTGGTCATTTTATTAGTGAAGTTTCTGAAAATAAACCAGAAAACTAGCATATCTTATTGCTTCATAAACACAATTGCTTGTATTAAGCAAACACTTAAGTTCTTGAAAAAGTAAGAATAGATAGAGATAATATTTGTAAAAGACTAAATAAATTCATCTTTCATGTCATCTTGAAAATGAACTTAATAGAACTCCTAGATTTGGTTTCAAAAGTAAGGTTTCAAAGGGATGTTTTAAATTCAGTATAGAGGAACACCATATAGTGTTTTTGAGCATACATATAATCCTACTTTATAAGAATTTCAGAATTGGGGAACTGTTTTTACATTTTGTTTTTTGTAACTTTTACTATCAAGGATAATAGAACAATAATAATTCAATTATTTTGGAAGGTATATATCATATTATAAGATGATATTACTAAATAATTTTGCAGTTCACTGAATTAAGCTATTTTCAAAACCAAAATAGAGAATTATGAATTATTTTTAGGTTTCTTTTTACCAAAAAGTTTTCAGAAACTATCCATGTTTATCTTCAAAATTACTACTATGAATTTTGTATACTGAAGCCCTAGACTCATTCTGTAGGAGATACTAAATTAATATTGTGTGTACTTTCACCATGTGCCGGATTTCATCCTGAGTCCTATGAGATAGAAGTTCTTGTTGTGGATCAGGAAGCCAATGCCCAAAGAAGTTAAATCTTTTCAATATCACGTGGTTAATAATGACTGAGAGGTCTCTATTCAAGTTAGTTTCCTGAATTACTTTCCATGATCACAGCTACCTTTGATGACTTTCAAAACTTAAGTTTTTGAGATAACTTTGTTTTAATGATTAAATTTGCAAGGTTACATGCATTCTAAAAAGTTTTCCCCATCACTGTATATAATCAGCTAATCAGATGGATTAGCTATATTAATTTCTAATTTGTTCTGAATGCATTGTTGCACATCATATCACATTTAAAAGTGACATTGTTAATCATAATCTCTGTTTCTAAAGAAGCTTTTCATTATAAATAACCAGCATCTTAATGTAGATATAAGAGGGATTAAACTATCAGTGAAAAATAAACAGGTAAAAGGTGGGATGTAGGCACAAAGAATAGAAAGCCCCGAAGAACTTGCCTGATGTCAGACACAGACCCAGGGAAGACACCAGTATTAGTCTAGCATCTGATGTTCATGGGGTCTTGTCCTCTGAGAAGTGAAGTTTTATGAATTATAAGTATAAATTTCATCAGTATTCTCACCAATGTAGAAGAGAGATTTCTTTGATCTTTAAATACCTTTTTGTCCAACCAAAGGAGCCCAGCTCGCCTTTAAATGGGGAAGAGGATGAAATATAATTGGAGTGTGAAACTGGAGGAAGACTTACTAAGCTGCTCAGGAGTAGGCTTTTCTTTGCAGCACCTGCCCTTCCAAGCATCCTGCATATCTCAAGGGTTTTTCCTTGGTCTCCCAGCTTCTAGTCTCCAAGATACCTAGGCATGGGGAAGAGTTTAGAGAACATCCAGATTTGTTTTATTTATAGGTTACCAGCACAGATGGGTACACACAAAAGATAGGAAAAGCATTTACTACATCTTTAGATTGCCTTTATACAAAGTACTTTCTTTCGAGGCAGAAAGAAAATTCAATGCAAAAATAGGTCAACTATTGAATTTTTCTCTGTTCTTTGCTTGATCCTGGCATTAGTCACGTTCTCCACCATGCTCCCCACCTCTCCACCCTCCAGCCCAGCATGAGGCCTCAACAACATATGTGCTGATACTCCAACACTGAGGAGAGAGTGAAGCAAAAGCAAAAAAAATTAGTTTGGACTGCCAGGGAAAGAGATTTGAAAGTCACTGAGGTACACTAGGTTAATGTGAATGAATTGTGTTAGTTCCCAGGACCCTGTCAGCCCTCTTGCTGTTACATACCTCTGAAACACAGTAACAGACTTGATAATGCCTTGCTGTTGGGGCATGTGCATTATTTAAAACGTCCTGCTATAAGAATAAAGAAAAGAAAAGAAACCTCTTTCTTCCCACTGATTTTAGTTCACGTGTCGAGCCATATTGTCATAACAGATGCATTTCATTTTTGCAACACAGTTGGGAAAGATGCTTTCTCAATTTGTGTGCATATCAAAAATATGCCAATTTCATGTATTCTGTCTTGATGAGTTACTAAAATTATATTTCGCTAGAATCAGAAAGTCAGTATTTTGAGATTGTGAGAAATGAATGTGTTGCATTTTTCAATGTCTTAACAAAATATGGAGTCTTTCTGAATGTTAAATTTTTATTGTTTTTTCTCTTCTAAGTAAATTTTATCAAAATTGCTTTCATAGGAGAAAATATACTTTTGAAAAGTGTTTATATTCAGTATTTGATAGAAATGTTTTTGAAACATTGCAGGAGGGATATCCATTCATTGGGATAAAATCCCTTAAGACATCTGTAAGAGAGAATTTTTTTTAAAGATTAAGTCTATATGTGAAGAACAACTTGCTTTACTAATTATCTATTCTTTTAAAGAATGCTGGCATTTAAAATTGTATATCCAAACATATGATTTGGGTTAATTTTTGCTATCTGTATTTCAGACATTTTAAATATTACTTCAAAGAACACAACTTCATCTTGGGGAAGGCACAGACATAAAAACATAATTCCTAATGTAAATGACAAAACCACTTAGAAATCTAATGATGTTCAAAGCAAGCCTCTAAAAGCAATTTTAATTAGCTTCATTTTATGAAAACAAACAGGGTCGGATATTGGTCTACCTTCAGAAATTACTTCCTCCAAATTCAAAGCAATGGAGGGCAGATAAGATGTCAGCATATTTGGAGCAGGTGTAAACTAGAATTGGAGGTGTGATAGCATTTAAATATTAAAAAAAAATACATGACTCTCAGTTTATTCCAAAGAAAGGGAGTAAACACAGTGAGAGGATTACTTTGGGGTATACTATGTTCCTTTATCTTTTAATTGGTATCCTGCACATCTGGCAGATTTGAATAGAGGTAGGTAGTACTCTTGTATAAACAGAAGTGCTTTCATGTAGCTGTTGTGAGAGATTGGTTTGCAACATATCAAGGACTTAACATTACTAGTTGCTCTTGTGGTTGTCAATATTGTTGAGTAGTGTATTGAAAGTTTTGTGATTGTAACATTACAAGTAAGTGGGTGGTTGAAAAAAATTAACAGGGAGCTTTGCCAGTCTTTTCATTTAATTCAAAATGTAAATAACTTTGTTTGTAGGGGTGGCAAACATAACCCAAGAGAAACCAAGGTAGTACTGTTAATACTACAACTTCATACAGTAATGAAAAAAATCTAGCATGACTTTTAGCAAATGTGTATGCATTATCATAGAAGAATGAATAAGTATTTTGAGAAAGAGAAGGGAAATCAATAGATTCATTAAAACATAGGATAAACTTTCTCCCTTGTCTTTATTCACTTGTTTGAAAATAATGAATGATTTCACAAATAAAAGGCTAATAATAGGTCTTTGGTCCCCAAGGAAGGAAATCTGTAGTGTGACTTCTTTTGTATAGTGATCATTAAGACATTTGCTAATCCTAAACTGACAAAGAGTAAACAGTATGCCTAGGTAACTTTGTAAGCATCAAGGAGACCTGCATATTAGGTTCCTGTGGTGTTTTTCTCCTTAATTCACGTATATTTATAATATGAGAGCAGTTACATAGTTTAGATAAGCAACAGTTAATTTTTTTGAAATCATAAACTCTTTATTTTGACTTTTTTTTTTTTTGCTACTGCAAAACTTACTAAAATTGCATATTTCCCTGCCTGAGTAAACTAAGTATAACAGAAGGATAGTTTTTGAATACTGGCTTTCAAGGGTCTGTTTAATGTCAGTGAAATAGATACTATCCTAGAACTTATTTTATATAAGCTTGCTTGTTTTCATAAAATTAGGGTAAATCATGCCTATGTATGAAATGCTTAC